CTTCTCCCATATCTCTTTCTCTTACTCTCCCCCCGTCTTCTCCTACTTTCCTTGTACCCTCATCCTTATATGCATGACACAACTTCCTTATCGGAATTGCTTGTCTCTCCGCCGCTCCTTCCCCACAACGGGATCTGGGCACGGAGGCCGAGAGTGGGAGTGTGTAACAGCCCACGATGGCATGTTGCGGTTGACGACAAGATTCATAGTGTACTGTAAGCCTGGCGGGACAGCCACCTCTGCCTTTCTTTGTTTTGTAGCAGTGCGCAGTGTCGCCGCCCTGCCGCCCCTCGCGCGAGGCAGCGAAGTGTCTGGCCGGAACCGGAGCTCCTCGAGTACTGTCAGGGCGGGAGCAGCTCTTCGGTTGGCGAGCTTGGAAAGGGGGGGGGAGCTTGAGTCGTGATCTTTTGGATTATTCGCTGGGAAAAAAACGAGGAAAAATGGAAACTGCTGTCCGGGGAAAGAGAGAAGGTGGAGGAAAGAAGAGGAAAAAGTGTAAATGATCGCAGTGTTGCCATATTGCAGAGAGGGACGTGGGCAAAAACGCCAGCGTGTGGCATTGGGAGTATTTCCGCGTTCCGCTATACATCTCCGTCTCTTTTTTTATACCCAAGTTTTTATCCAAATTATTCGTGTCCTTATTAATAGCATTGCTCGAAGGAGCGTCAGGGGTTAGAATTCGGGTCGGCCCGAGATAAACACTTGAGAATCATTTGGTTTCTCACTTTTTCTGTTTCTGCAGATGACTCCCCCTATTTTTGCAGCAGTAAGAAGCGTAAGACAGACTGGCTTCTTTGTAGGTCCTCGAGCGAATATTTATGAGTTGCCATTGTTTATAGAGTCGGGCATATAAACAGAGCTCTTGCAGTAGCAAACAGCAAGATGCTCCATAAAGTTAGACGAGGGGCTGGCGTAGCATTAGTGAGCAAGTGGTGACGATGGATACGGAAGGTAGGAGGACTGCCCCCCCCCCCATAGGGTGGTATGGGAGCTAGGGTCCAAAAGGGAGAAGGGCGAGGGGGAGGAAGGGAGGGAAAAGTAAGACAGGAGAAGGAAAGGGGGGGTTCAGGGCCCAGACACCAACAGATCTATGTAGTGGAGGCACTAATATATTGCCCGCCAGAATTAATGGTCTCGGGGAGCTCCCTGGACCAACCACTGACCTTCTCCCTCTCCCCTCCCCTCCTCCGTCTCTCTTCCCCTTCCCCTTCTTCCCTCCGCCCTCCTCCCCCTCCTCCCTCTCCCTCTCCCTCTCCCTCTTCCTTTGCCTCTCCTCGTACGTCCCCCTTCCCCTCTCTTCCTCACACACTCTGCCCCCCCCCCTCTCCCCTTCCCACGCCCCATCACTTCCTCCTCCTCCTTCTCCCCCTCGCTCCTCCCCCTCTCCCCCTTCTTTCTCCCTATCCTCCCATATCTCCTACCTCCTCTTCCTCCCTTCTCCCCTCTCTCCCCTATCCCCCTCTTCCTCCTTTCTTCCCTTCCCTCTCTTCTCCCCTCTCTCCCCTATTCTCCACTTCCTCCCTTCTTCCCTTCCCTCTCTTCTCCCCTCTCTCCCCTATTCTCCACTTCCTCCCTTCTTCCCTTCCCTCTCTTCTCCCCTCTCTCCCCTATTCTCCCCTTCTTCCCTTCCCTCTCTCCCCTATTCTCCCCTTCGTACCCTTCCCCCCCTACCTAAGCTGTTATGAAAGTTCCAAGTCAGGGTATCTTTATTCAAGCCGAGAACATGGAATTTCTTTGTCTGTGTTTTCTTTCAATTAAATGAAGTTATATATTTACTTCATTTACGTTCATTCTAGGTGTTGTTGTTGGCTGAATTTAGAAGTAATGGTATTGCAGTTATTTTATTTGGCATTTGTCTTTTTTATGTGGTTTAATTTTCTATTATTATTGTTATTGTTATTAATTGTGTTTGGTTGTTACTGCTAGGCATTTGGATAAACTCTTATGGAATGGTTTCGTTTCAATGACTTGTATCATGACGTCACTAATAATGAGAATAGGAGTAGCTATGACGTCACTCCTTTTCTTTTCAATAAGCTTTTCTTCCTCGTTATTGGAGACTCTGAGTAATGATAAAGATTATTTGATGTGAAACCGCATTATATCTTTTAAAGCATACATATACCGGCACAAATATCTCTCATATTTGAAAGCCTTTTATTTTTTATTATCATTACGTTTCTCTCTGTGATCCATTTTTTTCTTTTCTTTTTTTTTTGTCTTTTTTTTGTCTTTCAGAACCATAGCCTTGTGTAGCCCCCTCCCTCCTCCCTCTCCGTCTGAAACTATAGCTCCCACTTTTGTAAATATTTGAAAAAAAAGCGGAACGTAAAATGGAGGCAGTCCTTAATTAATTAGAAATACTCGATGCTGATTAAGAAAAGTTTCGGTCGGGAATTCCAGTTCGGGTTTATTATTTGATTTGTTATTTTTAGCGTCTGCTGTTTATTTACTTCTCTTTTTTTTTGGATTTCTGATTCGTTTACTTGCACGTTGAAAGAACTGCACTGTAAGTGTAAGAGCCATTTGTGTGTGTGTGTGTGTGTGTGTGTGTGTGTGTGTGTGTGTGTGTGTGTGTGTGTGTGTGTGTGTGTGTGTGTGTGTGTGTGTGTGTGTGTTTGCATGTATATATGTATGTATGCATGTAAGTATATATATATATATATATATATTACATCTCACACACACACATACACATACACACGCACACACACACACACGCACACGCACACGCACACGCACGCGCACGCGCACGCGCACGCACACGCACACACACACACACACACACACACACACACACACACACACACACACACACACACACACACACACACACACACACACACACACACATACACACGGATATACATACATATACACATACATGTATGCATACATACATACATATATGTGTGTGTGTGTGTGATTGATAGATAGATTAATAGATATGAATATACATGTATACATTCTTACACACGCATAGCTAGAGAGAAAATGATATATGTGAAGAGAGGCAGAGAGACAGACAGACAAACTGACAGAATCATAATAAATAGTTGTGTTTAATGGTCTTGTCTACGAATTTCTAGCTCGATCGTTCAGCAAATGGAATTCAGGTTAGATGCTGAAGTTTGGGTACGGGCGGGCATGCGAGCAGGGTATGGTCACGCCGCGTGGACGGATAATGAGTGTAAGGCTGTTTAATTTCGTCAGAGTGTAAACCAGCTGTCAGTGATACCAGCTGGTAATCATTGTGGCGCGGTTGGCTCCCCCGATGAGCCCGGCATTCTTGTCTCTCGGCGGAGGGAGTTATGTGACGCAGACCAACTCATTTCGCCGAAGCGCGCATCATTCGCCGAGGAAGTGGCTGCTGGCGGAGAAGGCGTGACTCGAGAGGTTACTGACCCTGTGGTGGAGGTGGATGCGCCCCGTGCTGCCCCTGGGCACGAGCGAGGCAGTCCAGTGTCGCGCTTCCCCATGCCCGTCTATCGCTGTGGCTAATGTCACCCTTTCATTTTGACGCTGGACTGAGCCAAGGGAGCTGGGGCTGCCCGGGGAGCAGCGTCCGGGCACGGCGGGCGGCGCGGCGGGCACCTACGCGCACGGGCTGTGCAGCCTGGCAAGGTCCCTGTGCTAGAAGGCCGGGCCGCGCGGGGCAAGAGGAGCATGACACGGCTCCCAGCAAGATGTAGGGCAGGGCAGGAGCGGCGTGTGGCAGGCGGGCTGGGCTGGGTCACGCCGTGCCGGCCCCCTCCCCCTCGGCACGAAGACTTGGCAACGCCCCGCACCTCCGCCAATGGGAGGCCGCCGTGCTGACCAATGAGCACCGGGTGCCTGCCACCAGCTGCACGCGCGCGCGCGCGCACACGTACATGCCTTTACAGCATTGCTTAGCTGGTGGACCAATTATCTGGGAGTGTCCTGGCACGTTATCAGGCGCACGACACCACACGTTATGCCTAGTGCCACACATGGCAGCCGCGACGCTATCTCCTCGCTATCTCCGCGCGCGCTCGCAGGCGCACCTTCTTCACGCGGATTCTTGGTCTCTTTCCGGAAGCATTGCCCAGGCAGGGCGATCACCTGCTCCGCTTATTGCCGGGCGGCGCACATTGCCCTTCCCTGTGCATGTCCTTGTGAGGGCAAGAGAAGCTTCGTAGGCCATGAGAAAAGATTTTAAGGGAATACAAAGGCCAGTACGAAGGCTTTGGTTATCCTAGATTTGTGGTTATTGTTCCACTGATCTCTTATTTTTAAATATTTATTGTCCCTGATATTTATATCACATATATGCACTGTATGTATATATATAATTTTACATATAAAATAATTCATCTATAGTGCAGTTGTCGCGGGATTGTTTTAGTTGATACGAGGAAACTTTTATATCATGTTTTAATGAAATGGCCCGTTGTCCTCGGATATCTAGGAATGTGTTTGTTTGTGTGTCAGTGTCCGTCTGTCTGCCTATGTGTGTTGAGTGTGTTTACATGAGAATAACTGACTCTTTTTCCTGGTGTCTGTCTGTCTGAGTAAGTGTGTGTGTGTTTGTGTGTGTGTGTGTGTGTGTGTTTCCTTTTCTCTTTTTTTTCTTTGTGTATGTGTATGTGTTTGTCTGTCTGCTATGTGCAATTATGCTTATTTTATATACACTTTGTATACTGCCCGCTTGTTTAACGATATAATGTAATATTTAAAGGCTGTTTAGTTTTATTTTTCTCTCGTAACAATACGCAACCAGCTCTGTTCCTGTAGAGAGTGGGTGAACGTAGCATAATCTACAGAGTTTTAGACTTTCAGACAGCAGAGATGGATGCTAATCGTTTCTTTCCGGGAGAAAGTGTCCGAAAAATCACCCCGGCTTAATTTAGGGCACATCCACACTTTTCTGTCGTTTGTAAAAGCCTGATTCAGAGTTTACAGAACTGTTTTTTTTAAGCGCTAGATTAGCATTGTGCGCCATGCTAGCATCGTTTTTTAATGCTGGTTGTATGTTGCAGATGTTGCTTGCGGGAGGCTGTGACTCGCGTCCAGAGGTGGCCGGGGTGACGACGGCGATGTGGTTGCGTTGCCACCGCTCCTCCGCACCCGTGGCAGTGGCCTCGTCACCCTCAGGAGCACTTCGCCCGTTGCAAAGGTAAGCCGTCCGTGGCCTCTCGCTGTAGACACGTAGACATGGATACCTCTGGACACTCACGTATCTCGTCTGGAGGCGAATCTCGGGGATGTAGACGGGCATGTAGATGGGGTTGTCACGCCGAGGCTCTCCGGAGGTCTCTCTTAACGACTAGGAGGTGCTGGCTCTTTGCTAACGTTCTCTTGCGTAATTCTTCCATGACAACGTTCCCGGCGTTGCATTTTCCCCCTTTTAGCAGCGTCCCCTCCGGTGAAGCAACCTCGCCCGGGATCGTCTCTTGCACAAGTGATCCACTTAGGTGCTCTTCCTCCTGGCTTCGTTCTCCTTTGTTTCGACTGTCTACTGCATTATACCTGTATTACTTCATTAGTCTTGAAACTCTCTCTCTCTTTTTTTTTTTTTTTTTTTTTTTTTTTGGAATGGCTCCCTTGCTCATATTTCTTACTTCCCTGTCCTCTTGGGATCTCATATATATTTGTCTCGAGCTTTTCCTCTCCCCGTGAATCACTACTTCTCTTACTCTCCCGTCTTCGTGCGTCTCTCTCTCTCTCTCTCTCTCTCTCTCTCTCTCTCTCTCTCTCTCTCTCTCTCTCTCTCTCTCTCTCTCTCTCTCTCTCTCTCTCTCTCTCTCTCTCTCTCTTCTCTTTCTCTCTCCTTCTCTCTCTCTCCTTCTCTCTCTCTCTCTCTCCTTCTCTTCTCTCCTTCTCTTCTCTCTCTCTCCTTCTCTCTCTCTCACTCCTCTCTCTCTCTCACTCCTCTCTCTCTCTCTCTCCTCTCTCTCTCTCTCTCTCTCCTCTCTCTCTCTCTCTCTCTCTCTCTCTCTCTCTCTCTCTCTCTCTCTCTCTCTCTCTCTCTCTCTCCTTCTCTCTCTCTCTCTCTCCTTCTCTCTCTCTCTCCTTCTCTCTCTCTCTCCTTCTCTCTCTCTCTCCTCTCTCTCTCTCTCCTACTCTCTCTCTCTCTCTCTCCTCCCTCCCTCCCTCCCTCCCTCCCTCCCTCCCTCCCTCCCTCCCTCCCTCCCTCCCTCCCTCTTTCATTCATTCACTCATTCCCATTCTGTATCCCTCTCCCTCTCCCTTACCCTTTCCCTCGCCCTCACCCTCACCCACTTCTTCTCCCACTCCCTCTCCTTCCCACTCCTCCCTCCCTTCTCCCCTCTCCTCCCTCCCCTCCCCTCTCCCCTCTCCCCTCTCCCCTCTCCTCTCCCCTGCCACCCTCCCCTCTCCCCTCTCCCCTCTCCTCCCTCCCCTCTCCCCTCTCCCCTCTCCTCTCCCCTGCCACCCTCCCCTCTCCCCTCTCCCCCTCTCCCCTCTCCCCTCTCCTCTCCCCTGCCACCCTCCTAATCCCCACCCACCGGCGAGCAGCTCTCTCATGTCCATCATCGGATGCTAATTACAGGGCCTCGACCCGTCACATAAAGACATCGCCCAACTGTACATCAACTCCCTAAGGGCGAGGGCGTGTAGTGGGCTGATGATAGCCTGTAGGAAGGGTATATGGTGAAGGCCACAGGGCCAGGTGATGGCCACAGACCGGGGTTCTGTCAGCCTGATGATGACTAGAGATCAAGATGTGATATACTGGCCGTGCTCTTGGCTTTTCTGTGCTTAAGGTGGCCATGTTCAAGCTTTGTTCTTAGGTTGTTTTTTTTTACAAGTGGGTATTTCCCGAATAGGTCTTTTTTGACAGCTGGTCTTATTACAGTCTGGTGTTCTAAACTTCAGTTCTTTTTTGTTCAGGAACCCAAAGTGGATACAAGGCGACTGAAAGTTCCCCTCCCACAGACGCGCCTCTGCTCACAGTAATTCCGTCTTCGTAGGTGAGTGCCATCGGGCTTTGAGCATCGACCTACCGAGAGGCGGGTGGGCGGCCGCGTGGCACCCGTCGGAGTGGGAGTGCCAAGGAGTGGGCGGCGCGAGGAGGAAAGTATAAGGGGAGAGGAGATGGGAAAATTGGATAAGGAAAGTAATGGAGAAGTGGAGATGAGAAGAGGGACGTAAAGAGAGAGGGTGATTAGCAGAGGGGAAGATAGATAGGGAAGGAATGAAAGAAATGGAGCCCAGAGACTGCAGGATTTGGCAGTACTTTGATAAGTTTTGACCTGCTGTGGGAAGATGCGGTGGGGAGGGCAGGTCATCAGCACACTAGGCTGTAGATAGGGACGTAAGACGCATGGCATAATGCATGACGAGGAGGGGGTCAGGTCAAAATGAGGTCAGTTTTTTATTATCTAAGTGTGTCCTCGTGTTTATGCTCAGCTTTTTATTTCTTTTATTTATTAAGTAATTAATTTATTTTTATTTATTTATTTTTCGCGAATTGCACAGCAGCAGACAGAAGAATAATGCGAATTTCAAAATGGAAATTCTGAGCCGTTCCCTTGCAGCTCCTTCCCCTCACGAGCCCTCACACCAGCGCTCGGTTCGGAGGGCAATATGAAGGGAAACCTGCTCGCTCTGAAAGTGAGTGAAGAGAATATCGAGGGGAAACGAGGGGAGGTGGACGCGTATTGCAGTAGGGTGGAGCCAAGGAGAGGGCGCTGAGGGTGAGTGCGAGGGGAAACATTTGAGGGAAGACAGCCTGGGTCTCTGAAGGGAGCAGGGCGCGAGGGGAATGTGTTGAGGGAGGAGAGATGAGGAAGTGAGAACGATGGGAAATTTTTGAGTAGGCAGGACGCTGGGAGTGGAGGTTGGGCAGGGTGAGGGCGGAGGGGGGTCCTACCCAAGGGGAAGGAGTGTGTTAGCAGTGGCGAGGGAGCAGAGCGGTGTTAGGAGAGGATGTTAGGGGATGGAATGCAAGATGGCGGAAATACATGGGAGAGAAACGTAGTGGCGGAAGAAAGAAGGATGGGTTAAAACGGGGTAATAAAGAAGGGAGTGTAACAAGGAAGCGTAGGAGTAAGGAAATGCCCAAAAGAAGAAAAGGAGAGGGGCGAAAAGGAAAAGAATTCGCCGAGAACGAAGCGCAGATAGGGAAGGGTAGAAAGTACGGCAGGAGGAGGATAGGAAGTTTTGAGGGAGAACAGGAAAGTAAGTTTTCAGGGAGAAGGACTCGGGAGGGAGAGCGCCGAGGGTGGGAAAACAGACGGGTGGCATCGTCAGAGCAGGCACGGGAGAATGAACGTTGCGTAAAGAAAGACACAAGGAAGAGGAGAAAGATGAGGCACTTATGTGGGTCAGGTAAGGGCATCGACCCCGTGATAGTGCCACACCGTGTAACAGCGTTAACTTGCCAGCCGTGATGAGAGGTGACCTGATCAGAGACGGTGCAACATCATTCTCCCCGGCGTACCATCCCGCATGTACTCACGCGTCCTCGCTGTACCTTGAAAGAAAAAAAAAGTATTGGCACGGAACACCATGAAGCACCCACTCAGCACTCACTCAGTTCTACGAGACCTGCACAACCTTCTCAACGTGCATTATCTGCAATGTACCCCCACTAAGCACCTAACAATAAAGTGCTCTTCGTTGCCTAACCCTGCAGCAAACGGTCACCTAACTCTGCAGTATGGCAACATATACGGACGAGGGTGGAGGGAGAGGAGACGAGGAGAAAGAGGGGAGGAAGAACAGAGGAAGAAAACGATGAGATGCGTAGAGTGAAGGAGAGGAATAGCAGAGAGGTAAGAAGAAGAACGTGAATGTAATTAGAAAAGCGAGGGGAAAGGGGTAAGAATAGAAGAGAAGCAGGAGGATGAGGCGGAAGATGAGATAGAGGTGGCGGCGGCGGAGAGGCGGACGCTGTGTTGCGGGAGGCAGGCGCAAGGGCCGCGCCAGGATGTTGCTGTTGTTAAAGGGGACGACTTCGGAGCCAGGAGCTTGAGGGTGCTAGGGAGGTGCACTGTATCACTCGGGTAACGCGAGGGAGCCCGTGGACGCTCTTGTGTTCAACTGGAAGCCCCGGGATGAGGGGGAATGCCACCGGGATAATGCCAGATAACGCCGGGATAACGCAGGGGATCGCTGGCTAATGCTGGGCAACTGAAATGGATCAGCTGCGGATGATCTTCGGGAACGGAATGATAAACGCGAAGGCGAGGAATAGATGGATTGATTATCTGATGGCGAAATGGTGTGTAGGCGTAGGGTAGACTGACAACGGTTAGAAAGCATGGTGACGCTGTAAGGTGGATGGGGGGGGGGATGATTGAATTGTCGAATATATTATGATATACAGCTCCAGGGGGATAGCAACGTGTGATGGGCGTGGGAATGGCTGTCTTTGTGCGTGCATGAGAGAGTCGGAGCTCGGCCTCGTCGGGAAGGGGGGAGGAAAGAGGGGAGGGAGAGGGGCGGGATCGGAGAGTTCGACCAGCGGGAGGGAATTAACCGGAGGGGAGGGCCGAGGGGCGTCGTCGGGACTGCGGGTTTGACCTGGGAAGGGAAGGGGAGGGCGCCGACGAGGGCAAGGCGTCAGGTCAGGGCGAGGGAGGGAGAAGGGCCGGCCGGGGAGGGGTACCTGGCGCAGGGGACAGGCGGCCGGAATGAAAGTCAGGGACAGCCCAAGGGTGTGCCCGCCAGGGACCAGAATAGCCGGCAGCAGCAGCCAGCCGGTCGCCCGTGCTGCACGTGGCTCTGGCTTGGCTGCAACTGCCGTTATCCTCCTTTCTTTGCCCTCGACTCTAGCCTAGATTTTTCATTGGTTTCTTCCCCTCCGTGCGCCTTTCTCTTCCATTTAGCATCTTCCTCCTTTCCCCGTTTATGCTTTCACACCCTCCCTCTCACCCTTCGCCGTGTTCCCTCTTCTCCGCTGGACCTTTTTGCCTTTGGCCCTTCGCACACTTCCTAAGCCATTACCATCCTTCCTGAGTCCCGTCCTTCGCCCCAATCTCGCCCATCCTTACACTCATAAACCTTTTTTTTCTGTACCCTGTCTGCCTCTCCTCTCTCTCTCCCTCGTAACACTTTCCCCACGGAAAGCTTCTGCATCATTAATACAGCGGTAATCTGGTACACAGCACGGCGGGTTTATGCTGCTGCGACTGCTGTTTCGCTGCACAG